TCCAACAAGTTCTGGATCTCAACTGAAGTCTTATATTGGCCAACACAACTCCTCCTGGCAGACTGACTTTTCCTAGAAACTTAAAGCAGGGAGGAAACCATACTGCTGTCCCCATCTCCAAGAACTTGGAGGAATGTATCACCGAGAAAACCTTCAGGTTATGTCCCCAAATGCCATTGATGGGAGTGCAGGGGCAATTCTGCTGTGCTTAGGGGCCCAGAATAGGCCTTTTTAAACAACAGCAAACAACTAGATGCCCTTTGGGTTGGACTAGATAGCCTTTGGAGCTCCTTCCAAATTGTAAGAGTGGACTAGATTGTCTTTCTGTAGGACTAGATGGCCTTTGGGTTGGACTAGATGGCCTTTGGGGCCTCTTCCAAGTCGTAAGAATAGACTAGAGGGCCTTCAGAGTCCCTTCAAATTCTGTTATTGTAAGACTAGATGGTCTTTTCATTGGAATAGATGGCCGTTGGGTTGGACTACATGGCCTTCTGGAGCCCCTTCCAAGTTGTACGAGAGGACTAGATGGCTTTTTGGTTGGATTAGATGGCCTTTGGGGCCTCTTCCAAGTCGTAAGAATGGTCTAGAGGGCCTTCAGAGCCCCTTCGAATTCTGTTATTGTAAGAGTAGATTAGATGGCCTTTTCATTGGAATAGATGGCCATTGGGTTGGACTACATGGCCTTTTGGAGCCCCTTCCAAGTTGTACGAGAGGACGAGATGGCCTTTGGGTTGGATCAGATGGCCTTTGGAGCCACTTCCAAGTTGTAAGAGTGGGCTAGGTGCCCTTTTTGTTGGACTGAGTCCTTTCAGGGAGAGAAGGCGGGTTATAAATAAAGATGATGATGATGATGATGATGATGATGATGATGATTATTATTATTATTATTTCACAGAGGTCAATATCCAGGTCACTTTCTATTAGAACAAAGGCTTGCCATGGAAAAACACCAGGTATCCAAGTACATGGCAGAATTGTTCCCATATTAGAAAATATGCCCCTCCATGTAAAATCATTTTATCAAATAGATGCAATGGTAAGCTCTCGTTTCCTCACCCAATATGTTGTGTTAAACAGTTTTCCTAATGAGAGATAGGCAAAAAGAAGCAACAGTTTGTAGCAGCTTGCTTTTGCATGCCTCCCAACTGCTTCTTATTATTTCAGACCAAATCCACCTCATGTCACACAAATCTGGTGTTCATTTTTTAGCTGTAAATATTTATACCAGAAATGTTGACTCATGAAATTGCTCTTGTAAAACAGCCAGGCATGGAGCCCAAATTCTGGTTTATTTTTCCTTGTAGACATCGTTTTGTGTTAATCCACGAGATCTCTTGACTTTGCCATCATTGAAGATCCTGAATTACTGCAGCACAGGCAGTGAGCAGTCAAAGCTCCAAATGAAATTGTTAATTTTATGTAGATTTGGCAGCCTGTAGTTTTTCCTAAGTGAGTCACAAAGCCTCATGCCACTTGCAGACGTCTGTATTACATTAAGCTCAGCTGCTTTCTATATCCTCCATGGGAAAGATATGAAAGAATAAGAAAACATGCTAAGTACAATATAGCAGGCTTCGAGTGCCAACTACAATTTTTTAAGAAAGAGGAGAGAAATCCATTGGTCATGTAATGTAATCATCTATTTCCTAATCATATTCTGTCAGGGAATGGGAATAGTCTTTTCTTTTCAGGGAAAAAGGCAATGATGTAGAAATAAACTTGGGACGGTATTACCATATCTCATTCACTGCTCCGCAGAGAGTTGTTGAGAGTAATGAATGGGTCTGACATTAGCAAGGAACCAGAAAGAGTTCTTTGGAAAACCCAACACAGAGATAGTTTTTAATTTTTGTTTTTTAAAAAGAAGAAGTAATTCTATGTCTGGTGCAACACACACTCAGCATTCCTTTTTAGACCCCTTGTGACCTCTCCATTTCCCCATTCAAACATCTGTGGTTGAGTACTATTGCAGCATTGCTTTTTACAGCTTCCTTATTCTCCCCACAAGAGGTCAGGATTGTGTTACTCGAATTTTTCATCTCCCAACACTCACTTGTCATCACAGCACTTTCATGTGTTCACACATTTTGTTTTCGCTGACTTAAAATGCATTCAGATTCACAGGGCAAAGTCTCTTCGAAGTGTGCTAATTCTTTAATAATAAATATCTTAATGCCAATGCATTAGCATCCCAATTTATCATTTCACAAGGCAGATCTGTTACCAAACATGTGTAATTCTTGCGAAAAATGTCCCTGTTCATTCTTTCACCCCACAATTTTTGAAAAAGTAAAATGAGTGCATTTTTGTCAAAACAGTGATACTCTGAAAAGCCAAAGCACATGTTTTATATTACACATACTAATTTGTATCATAATGAAAAAAGCGATATGCTAAGATAAAGATAGGCATGCAGTATACTCATATATTCTGATGGATTTGTGATCTGTATCAAACTTTTTTTTCATGTCAGGAGCAACTTGAGAAGCCGCAAGTCACTCTGGTGTGAGAGAATTGGCCATCTGCGAGGATGTTGCCAGGGGACACCAGGATGTTTTGATGTTTTACCATGCTTGTAAAATAAATAAAAACCATGTTTGTGGGATGGTAAATCCTGCAAATCTCTTGGATAGACAAGTGGACAAATGTCAGCGTGCTGGAAGAAGCAAAGACCATCAGCAGTGAAGCGATGGTCCTCCGCCATCAACTCCGCTGGACCGGCCACATTGTCTGGATGCCTGACCACCATCTCCCAAAGCAGTTTCTCTATTCTGAATTCAAGAACGGAAAATGGAATGTTGGTGGGCAAGAAAAGAGTTTTAAAGATTTGCTTCAAAGTCAACCTTAAAAACTCTGGCATAGACACTGAGAACTGGGAGGCCCTGGCCCTTGAGCACTCCAGCTGGAGGTCAGTTGTGACCACCAGTGCTGTGGAATTTGAAGAGGCACGAATAGAGGGCGAAAGAGAGAAACGTGCCAAGAGGAAGGTGCATCAAGCCATCTCTGACTGGGACCGCCTTCCACCTGGAAACCAATGCCCTCACTGGGGCACATGCAGATCAAGAATAGGGCTCCACAGTCACCTATGGACCCACTCCAGTACGCTGATCTTGGAAGGCAGTCCTACTCAGATAATGAGGGATCACCTAAGTAAGTAAGTAAGTAAGTAAGTAAGGAAGGAAGGAAGGAAGGAAGGAAGGAAGGAAGGAAGGAAGGAAGGGATGCTTCTCTCATGTCCATGCATGGGGATCTGGAGCTGACAGAGGAAGCTCATCCGTGCTCTCCCCAGATTGGAACCTGCAACCTGTTGGTCTTCAGTTCTACCGGCACAAGGGTTTAACCCACTGCGCCACCAGGAGCTTCTGTATCAAACTAAATGAAATAAACAGACACCAAACACCAAATACATTGCTATGTGAACTTGTTAAATAAATGTAAGCAGGACTTTTACCAAGGATTTGAATACTCTGGTTTCTCTTCAGATCATATAAATTTTGGGTTGCTGTGAGTTTTCCAGGCTTTATGGCCATGTTCCAGAAGCATTCTCTCCTGATGTTTCACCCACATCTATGGCAGGCATCCTCAGAGGTTGTGAGGTCTGTTGGAAACTAGGAAGATTTATATATCTGTGGAATGTCCAAGGTTGGAGAAAGAACTCTTGTCTGCTTGAGGCAAGTGTGAATGTTGCAATTGGCCACCTTGATTAGCATTTAATGGCCTCGCAGAAGAAAATGCTTCTGGAAAATAGCCATACAACCTGGAAAAATCACAGCAACCCAGTGATTTCAGCCTTGAAAGTCTTTGACAACACATATAAATCTTATTTGCGTAAAGAAATAGTTGACTGTGTCATTTCTAGCAAAGCTCTTTAGACATATAAAGGTAAGTCTCAATAAAAAGTATTAAAAATGAACATTTGTGGAGCTTGTTTCCAAAAGGTAAAAAATCCATCTGAACAAATTTTATAAGAATTAAAATAAAAGTGCTGAGGATATGCTTTCTTTTGCTACAAAATGCAGTTTTCCAAACCCTGTACTGAAGTGATTTGATACATTTTGATCTGTACACAATATTCTACTCCAAGGCAACAATGTACTGCCACCTATGACTCATTTTGGGGGAGATGTGGTATCTTTTGGAAAGAAACTCCACATTGTGTTGTTGTAGGTTTTTCGGGCTATATGGCCATGTTTTAGAAGCATTCTCTCCTGACGTTTCACCTGCATCTATGGCAAGCACCTTCAGAGGTTTTGAGATATGTTGCAAACTAGGAAAATTAGGTTTATATATCTGTGGAAAGTCCAGAGTGGGAGAAAGAACTCTTGTCTGTTGGAGGTAGGTGTGACTGTTTCAACTGGCCACCTTGATTAGCATTTGATGGCCTGGCAGTTTTTAGGTGTCACTTGTTAGTGCATGGGGAAATCCTTTGTTGAGAGGTGATTTGCTATCCCCTGTGGTTTCTCGTCTGGAGTTCTCCTGTGTTTGAGTGTTGTTTTACTATTATAATTTTATATTTTTATAATACTGATAGCCAGATTTTGTTCGTTGTCATGGTTTCTTCCTTTCTTTTGAAATTGTCCACATGGAGAGAATGCTTCTAGAACATGGCCATACAGCCCGAAAAACTTACAACAACCCAGTTATTTCAGCCATGAAACCCTTAGACAATAAACTCCACATTTTGCTTCAGTTTTAGCATATTGCTACACATGCATTCTCAGCTTCAAAATATTTACTCCAATACTGAAGGAAAGTGTCTTTGGAAGTTAAAAGTCTAACTGTAATTACTCATAAAGTTAAGGATAAGAACAAGGATAATCTTATGCTTAGTCATACAAATAAATAATAAATGATGCATCTCAAAGAGGACAAAACTGTGGAATGTAATTCATGTGCTCTATATGTTATAATTGCTTGGTGACATATTCCAAGTTCCCCAAGGACAGAAATGTCAATATGAGTACAATTTCTAAAGTAATTCAGATGGAATTAATACTTACAGACGCTTCAGTTCTGAAAGTCCAAAGAAGGCCCCAGGCTCAATAGTACTAATCAAGTTATTCTTCAGATCTCTGGAGATACACAATAGAAAGAGCATTAATTATCAGTTTACATACAATTGGAGACTCGCATACATGCAGAAAAGAAGGCAGACGAAGATTTGAAAATGCTTTACATTAAGAGAATGTTTTTATATATATATATATATATATATATATATATATATATATATATAATCTCCAATAGAAAATGTGAACAAATATTGAAGGGAAGAAGGGGGGAAATAAATTACAAGTTTGCTGCTCCAAAACCCACTTAAGTTAGAAATCCCAATTAAAACTGAAAGCTTTTCTAGCCTTAGGGGAAATGCATTTTTACAATTACTATATTCCATAAAAGTGAATGAAATAATAAGGACAGAAAGTCTATATATTGATTTGGTTACTGATCATTCAGACTGTTTTACTGTTTTTAATTATTGCTTATGTATTGTTTCGTGATCGTATCTCTCTCCATGAACAAGTCCGAACTCTTTGATCTTCGGGGGAGGCCTTCCTTTCGCTTCTGTCAGTTTCTCAGGCTCACCTTGTGGGTACAAGAGAGAGAGCCTTTTCCTCTGTGGCCCCCCGACTCTGGAACTCATTGCCGAGAGATTAGGAAAGCCCCTACCTTAGAAACCTTTAAAAAGAAACTCAAGACCTGGCTCTGCCGTTGCACTTTCGAAGAGTAGTCACATAATCTTATGCTATTGCTCCTCTCAACATTCTTGTCCTAGGAGTGCATCCCCCATTGTACGAAGGTCCGTTTATTGCCCTGTCTCTCTATGAGTTCTCCCTTACAAATAATTCTGCTTCATCTCACCCTGAGTTTTTCAAATCATTTTATGTACATGCGGCCCGCTCATTATATTTGGTTTACTGCTTTTTCCCCCTTTTGTTTGGTGTATATTGTTTATATGCTTATTTGTTTTATATTTTAATGCTATGTTGTTTATTTTATTGCAATTTGTATCTTAGTTTATTTTCCTAATCAAGTTGTTTGGGCTTGGCCTCATGTAAGCTGCCCTGAGTCCCCATTGGGGGAGATGGTGGTGGGGTATAAATAAAGATTGTTGTTGTTGTTGTTGTTGTTGTTGTTGTTGTTGTTGTTGTTGTTGTTGTTGTTTTTAACTATGCTTTATGTTCAATTGTGGTTTTATTATTGTAATTGTTATATAGTCATAGTGGTGCCCATTGTAAGCCGTCCTGAGTCCCCCTTCAGGGGTAGAGAAGTGACGGGGTAGAAATACGGGAAATAAATAAATACATAGATAAACATATGGCACATAGGTACTTGCTCTGAGACTTACACCATCAACACGATAGTCTCCATACCATTGGTTTCATCACTGCCAGCTCCTAGTAAATCAGAACCATCTCTTCAAATACATACTCAGTTCACTTTGGAATGGGGAATCTTGCAGGGTAGATGGAAACCTATTTGTTGTGGTGGTGATGGTGGCCGTGTGCCATTAAGTCATTACTGACTTATGGCACTCCTAGGGTGAATCATGGGATTCGCTTGGAAGATATGTTCAGAATCATTCTGTTATTGCCTTTGCCTTCCTCTGAGGCTGCAAGTATGTAATCTGCCCAAGTGGGTTTCCATGGTCAAGCATGGATTTGAATCCTGGTCTCTAGAGTCAGAATCCAACCTCAAACCAGTGTACTATATTGCCTGGTAGACTACTATAGTAGGTAATTCTGTGACTTTATACATTCTCTGGTTATCATACAGGCATATGCATGTACAAACATAAGAAAGTTTGAAACTAAAACAGTCAGCTACATTCCTATACTTATCAGAATAGCTTTGGGATGGCAGATTATTGCTCATCATGGAGCTTGCTAGTCATAAATATCAAGTTCTACCAGTTCGTATCTGAAAAGAACTAATATTGACTTAAGCCCTCGTGTGTGTTATTGCTACAGATATGCTCTTTTCAGTATTGAAATTTTAAAAATGACTTTCCTCCTTTGTCAACTGCAGTAAAAAAAAATCAACAGTAGTAACAGCTTGATATCTCCTAAAACCTAGTGTTTGGCTTAGCATGCCATTACATAAGCCCCAAGCATAGACATGATGCTATATCATTAAAGATAAGACAATACTTGTGGCACTAATAGTTTAGTTAATGTATTGATATGTTATGGTTTTAATGATTTTTATTGATTTTAATGTATAATGCATATTGTATTTTGTATGTTTATGTTTATTGTATGGCATTGAATTATTGCCAATTTGGAAACCGCTCTGAGTCACCTTTGGGGTTGAGATAGAGCGAGGTAAAATACAGAAAATAATAAATAAATAAATAAATACAAAGCATCTCATTTGTATTAACAAGGATGCAATGTTGTTCCCCACTTCACAAACCAGAAAGCTATCAGGGTGCCAATTATGCAGCAGCCCTGGTTGCAAATCTCATTGTCCCTCACCAAAAGTTAAGTTGCTAGGACTGGTATTAGTTAAAATCCAACATCTGGAGAACTGCACAATTCCTATGGGCTTAATCTCATTTTACTCTGTTTTGTATAAATCTATACAGTTGAAATCTCTACAAACCATAATGCTTAATCATGCCTGGGAGTGCTCAGCAGATGGAAAGAGTCATGAATCACCACACTTCAGCCAATAGACAAGAGCCACATCATTGCTGCCTTTGTGTGTCTGATTGGCTGTGACATCCTATGAGCCATCTATTGCTTGTTTACAAACACTTGTTTCAATACAGGAGAGTACTTAAGAGTGTAAATACTAGTGTGTGCACTACTTATCCATTGCAATCCAGAATTTTCAGGCTAAAATGTTATTGTTAGTTGCAATTAGAGTACATTCACTGAATCAATGAGATCTGCATCAGTATTGATTCAATTTAATGGACCTATTCTACACTGAAATCTGGAAGAGGGCAAAAACAGTCCCTAGAAGTTATCCACTCCTGCTTTAGATGGATGTCCATGGGAGTCACATTTCTCTATGCCCTGTACATATTTATTGTGTAAATAATATAACATTGGTCAGTATTTATCTTCCTTCTTTCCTTCCTTCCTTCTTCCCTCCATCCTTCCTTGAGCGGCTCTCTCTTGGCCTCCTACCACCAGCCACCTTTTAGAAACAGAGACGGAAAGAAAGGAGGCCTCCAGTTGACTGTGTCAAGCCCCCTCCATTCCTTCCCCCCTGCCTTCCTTCCTTCCTCCCTCCTCCCTCCCTTCCTGCGAGTTTGACCTGTCTTCAACTCTTCTTGCCATGGCGGGGGCTCCCCTCAAGGTCCCTCACCAATCTTGTGTGGCCTCCTCAAGGCCCAAGCAACAGAGGAGTCCCTGACAAGTGGATGGAGTGGCCAACGCTCTGGAAGGTGCTCGTAACTTGGATCTGGCTCGCATGTCAAATCAACAAATCAGACAAGCTACTGCTTGTAATTCAAAAAGCTCACAATTTAGGATGCTCATAAACCAAGGTTTCAAATTTAGGATGCTCATAAATCAAGGTTTCAAGGTATTACAAAACTTGTAATTCTCAATGCATATTTTCTCACCCAGTTCTATGTGTCCTGTTCAGCATCAGTTAGATTTATGTCATATGTTTTTATTCTTAAAAGAATTGCTCTGGCTGCCAACACATTTCTGGACTGAATTCAAAGTGCTTGTGATGAAATCTATATCTATATATGACTTGGAACCTCAATCCAATGCTTGATTCTCTTACCTTGGATGAGGGAAATAGGAAACGGGAGGGATTCCTTTATTCCCACCCCTAAGTGAGGCTTTTTGCCATTATGAATCCAAATAAGAAAGGCAATGAATGTTTGCCTGGGCAATAGAGTGCCTTTTCCTGTCTCCCATATTATCATACTCAAGCAATAGGATGATAATGCAGGGGCACAAAACAATGTCAATACAATTATAACAACTTTTTAGTTGTTGCAAATTTGACCTGGAATTTGTAATCTCATTATAAGACAATAATTATTGGGTAATAAATGATATGATTGTTTATTCTTTCGATAAAAGAACATTTATTTCAAAATGCACCATTATATTTCTAAACCATGAATAATGAATGTGCTTTAAAAGAGCTTTCAGACACATGGCACTACTAAAAAAAACCCTCTGACTATGCCACTTAGCATAAAATCGGAAGATCTACTAACAAAACATCTCTTTTCCATTATGTTCATTTGCAGTCCAGTTTGTCTCTACTCTTGCCCCAGGTTTACCTCATATAACCTCCTACAATAATACAGGAAAGAACTCATGGCACATTATATATGCAACATTTCAGTAACTTTGTATCTGAAACAGCTTACTTTCTTTTCCATCTACTCTGAAGAATTAAAAAAGGAAAACTTGTAGTAGAATGTGGAGCTTTTGAAGACTGATGGCTTGCTTAACTATGGCACTAGAGAGACAAGAAAATGGAATTTTTATGCCATGCAGAGCTTTGAAAAGACACATTTTGGATTATGCATCCTATAGTTTCAGGGCACTCTTTGAGTTGTATAGCTGGTTGTCCATATTTGAGAGTTTGACTTTTGTGGATTTGATTATTCACAGATTTGGTGAAAATATTCTCTCTAGGAATCCTACTAGGCCTTCCAGTGAAACCTCCTCCTGAAGCTGATAGAGTTATGATGAAGAACCAAGACAAAACACCTCTAGAATCTCTAGGTTCTCAGAATGGCATTCTATGGTTAGTTTCCAACAGAAAGCAATCACAGAGTTGTGTCAAAGGACCTACATAATCCTAGAAAAGTGATCTCTTAGGTTAAAAAAGTAAGGTTGGTGGGGATGAGAGAGAGGGCCTTCTCGGTGGTGGCCCCCCACCTCTGGGAAATAAGACAAGCCCATCCCTCCCCTCCTTTCATAAGAGCTTGAAGACTTGGTGGTTTCAACAAGCCTTTGAGAATGTCCAGTTCTAGTCCAGACCCTAGCCATCATTGAATATAGCCTTATTCTTCCTATTTATCTACCCTAGTGACTTCCACTAATAGGCCCTGGAAACGAACAGTCACAGAACCGTTCCTGTTATT